CCCTCACGTAAACCAGTAACTGAACAGATTGCAACGTCTGTAGACTCATCAAGCTGGATACCAAATATTGGAAGTGGAGTAGATTCAATTTCCTGGATTACCTGATCAAGAATATCAGCAGACATGTCATCTATTCTTCTGAGGACAGTGTTGTTAGATAAGGAAATTGCACTCAATTTTGTAACAAATTCGTCTCTGATCATAACTGGAACAATGTCTTTGGCTGCTGGCAACAGTAAATCTTCAGCAATGGGGTGAAGTTTCATAGCTCTGGCAATTCTGAGTGCCACCAAATATGAAGCTTCAACGGCTGCTATGTTTTGTTTGCAGTATTTGCCACCAGTGTCAAGTCTGGCTTTCTTGAGTCCATCAGCTTTGCCTTTAAAATAGTTGGTATCCTTGATGGCAAAGCTCGGATGCTTGCTATCAAAATGGCATTTTAGTTTGTTTGGCTTCATAGATTCGGCTGATTGAACTTCACAACAAATAACACATTGTGGTTTCTCAATTCCCTCTGTAATTACTGAGGTAAAACCATACTGTAAAAAAATCCTCACTATATTTTCTTTTCTTAATGTTCTTCTCTACAAGATCCATTGCCACAGGATGGTTTGCTAATGAAAATAATATATAACAATACCTTTAATAATACAAAAGATGGCATAGTTCAGTCAGTACAGTTCATTAAAGTTTCCTATGATTTACCATTCTCTGTATTGTTTTTTTACATACCTGTTACTATCCCAAGGGGGCAGTATTCACATCAACCACAGCTGAATATAAAAAGACCAATTAGCATCCAGATTAAGTTCCCATGGTACAGATTTTTTTTTTGCAGTAGTTGATGATTTTATAGTACATGATTTTACATTTACCCAGTAATTATAATTCATGAAGTGCTGTTTTACCTCCAATACTGCTCCTTTCAACACAGTAGCTGCTTTTAACAGAGTAGCTGCTTTCAACACAGCAGCTGCTTTCTACACAGTAGCCACTCTCTACACATGTGTGACTGGTCTGCATAAGTACATTATGGTGCCAACCCTGTCACATACACCTGTATTTGTACAGGGTGTATGTGATGGGGTTGGCGCAATGATGTCATCACACCAGGTACTCGTATGTGGGTGTATCTGCATGTGGGCAGACCCACCTGGAGATGGATAGAGGAGCGGTGTCTCGCTTCCTAAGGCCATCGAAAATATGTGTTTTCTGATGGTCTTAGGAGACCACTGTAAAAAAGGGTCATTCAACCCCCAAAGGGGTCGCGACACACAGGTTGAGAACTGCTGATCTGGAGTCTTATGCGGTGACGGATTGATGCATTATGGCATGCAGCATGATGACTTGGAAATTCCAGAGGAGGAAATTCTGAGTCTATCCAGTTGTTTTTTGGAGGTGGTCTTTGGATAAGTATAAGTACTCTTTATGGGCCATGATAGCTAATGCTAAAACAAGAAGTCATCGCTGGCAAATGGAGTGAGCAGCTGAAACTAATAACACCCACCCCGAACTGGCGAAATTGCTCAGCTGGTGAGACGGTTTGCAGCCAGGAAGGGCAGAACTCCCCTGGAAAGTTTATCCAAGCAACAGCAACCTCCTGAGCCCCATACCCTCTGCTAAGGAAAAGCAGCTGTACGTGAAACCGACCCCCACCAGCCAGAAGAGCCACCACAGCTGTGAACAGCACCCACCAGAGGAGCTGCTGCCAACTGAAGAGCAGCTGCT